TGTTTTATGCACAAATTCTTTTGGCTGCTTCTTGGTGGTTGGTTAGTTGGTTTTTCTTGCTCCTTAAAGGCGCTCATTAAACGCTGGTAGCCGAAATAAATGATATCCTACAAAAGGAAAAACATAAATAAATCTTTCATTTCCTAACGCACAGGCGAGTATCTAATTTCCTGCAATCTCCAACCACAACTAGCACACACACTCAAAGCACCGACTCTTCCTCAGCTCCCTCGAGCAGCTGAGAATTGTGGTCTCCAACACAAGCGCCCGCCTAAATGACGGTTGGTGTTGGTGACCGACTGCCTTACAATTGCCAGCAAGCACACTGCGCTAGTCCAGACTGGATATTTAATTGTTAGCCACTGTAGGTATATATATATGTGTGTGTGCTGTCGTTGATGGAGCTCGCTGAGTGTTCAATCGAATAAATGCAGTCAATTTATATCAATGTATGGATGTCTGTATGTATGCACAAGTGCATCAGTATTTGTTTATACAAGTTTCAAGTGCGTTTCTTCGGCTGACTGTGAATGGCTGGCTCCTGCTTTCCTGACTAAACGACTCAAATCCACTACAACGCCTGTGGCTGACACAATTACGCCAACTTGTACATACATAAACACATATTCACACACACAGGCACAGAAAATAAATATTATATCCTCTATATTTTGAATGCTTGAAATTCGAGATCTTCCAGTGGTCAACCAGAAATGTATATAAACATGTATACAAAATAATAAATAATAAAAGAAGTTTATATTAAAACAAACGAGTCTAAATCTAAATATTTGTCCATAGAAGGAAGCAGCAGTCCGGTTCTCAAATGACTTGAATGATGGCGAGGATGATGACGATGCGGATTGTTTGCCCATTGGCATGCACAAACACAAGAAAAACATATAAATATACATACACACTTCATCAGTTGACTCACTCACTTTTAGTAAAATTTCATTTTATTATCTTCTTTTTTTTTTTAGAAAAAAAGTCGTCGAATTTCACAAAATTTTCGTAACTGTTTCAAAACAAATTAACCATTTTCTTCGAATTCAGCGAATTTTGCAAATTTTTGCGCACTCCACATCTGTGTTTTTGCACTTTTCTCACACACGAGCGCAGAACATTTCACGAAATGGAAAATAAAAAGGCAAAACTGAAAACAAGCGTTCAAATTGCATTTAACTAGTAAGAGGTGGCTTAGCTCGCTAGTAAAAGCAGCAGCGTACCGTTTGTTTTGAATGTCACACTGTTGTTTTGTCAACTCGAACAGAAAGACGTTTTGCCACTTGGAAAGCCACAACAAACAGCGTGAAACAGGTCAGGCTTGTATATGTAAGGAACGAACGTTCGAGTGGCCCACCGGCCGACTGTTCGTCGCACTGTGTGTCGTTTAAACTACTATGTATAATCTACCACCGAACGACCGACCGATCAACAACCGTTCATTCCGTCGACCGTGTATACTAAGCTTATGAGAAAAAGCGTTTGCTTGCGTGCGCTCTTCCACCGGAAACATCCAGTTCGTCCAAAAGAAATGTTCATACTGAAGTAAATAATGAAAACGTTTGGTAGCTGGCTAGCTGTTTGGCTCAATGCCTGACTGAAACTCTAGTGAGCAGAACTGTGTTCACGAGAATAAGGCAGCATAGCAGCGCTAACGACCACGACGACGCTGACGTCGACAACCCCGACGACGGCGTCTGAATATGGCCTCATCAAGCAAGCCCAACCGACAACTACCCATGCAAGTCAGCAACAGTAGTCGGCAGCATGTGGTTGTGTTGTCCGTTTATCATCTGTGTATTGGCATCTGCTCGTTTGCACGACAATGTATAAAAATACAGATACAAAAGTGACTGCGGCGCAAACACTGTCGTTGACGTCAATTTTTATGGCAACGTCTTTACTAGCAGCACTGTTAATAACGTTCGTGACTGTGTGGGACAATGGGATAGAATCATTTGTTGGCATAGTAAAATAAAATAAAAATTAGAGAATATATTAAAAGAAAAAAGTAAAAAAAAAAAATATAAAAAAAGTAAAAAAAAAAAATATAAAAAAAGTAAAAAAAAAAAAATATAAAAAAAGTAAAAAAAAAAATATATAAAAGAAGTAAATAAAAAATTAAAGAAAAATGTAAAAATGTCTTTTAATTTTTTTTTTTATATTAAAAAAAAAATCCATAATTGAAAAAAACAATTTTTTAGAGAAAATATGAACATTCATATATGAATGGAAGAAATAAAAAATCGAAAACTTCATTTTTTAAACATTTTTTATTTTACTTTTTATTATAAAAAAGTATCTTACCAGATTGAGAATAAAATATATTTGTATGATGTAAAATATTATTATACATACCTGAAAAGATAGAAAAGATTTGAATCTATTAGTAAATATGCAACTAATTTATTAATAATTGTTTGAAAAATTTTTCATTCTGCAAATTTTTTGAATGCAAACAAGAATAGTTGTTATTTTATTCGAATTTATTTTCACATGATAGTTTCATCATCATCTTCATTTGACTACAAATAGTCGGCAATAGAACCCATACCCACATTATGGGTATGAGGTTCTAAACTCAGGCAATTAACACAAGAAATGATTCTGAAACGATGAAAAAACGACTCGATATGATGACGGAATGTTTACTTTTACTTTGTTTGAGATTTCACCTCTGTAAACAGGCATTTGCCCATCTACAAATAGATCAAACATCTTGGCATCAAAATGGATTGATGATGAAGGACTTATTTCAATGGAAAGAGATCAGAAAATAATTTTTATTTATTTTAAAATTGATATAGAAGACAAGGGGTATAGCATAAACAGTCTGCAGGTGCTTATTTTTTCGTCTTTTTTGTCGGCATATTCGTGGTTACGAAAAGGATATAGAGATGTATAGCAACCCTAGTTCGTACAAGTTCAGGGCCAACTAGCCAAGCTCTGAGCATTTTCTGTCAACTCTTGACAACTTCATAGTGCCACCAAACACTCTAGTACCGAAGGCTCAACCAATTTATTCAATCCTCAGTACCTGTTGTGTCACTGCAAATCACCAGCTATCGACGAAGAACCTGCCAGTCAATGAACGCTTCCTTACTTTCCCACTTGTGTCGATTCGTCATTATCAGCTGCTGAGCCATCAAAATGCGGCAACATGCTTTGCATACTAATACAAATAATGGAAGAAGCGCTTACTTGGCCAAAGTCGCAGTTACACAAACAGAAGCGATAGCAACAATAGCAATTAAAACACACCAACAACAAAAGCAACGACAATTTAATAGCACTAAGAAACCAAAGAATTGAGCTTTAAGGAAAACACGAACTATCAAGACGGCAGAAATGTCCAAAAACAAAAGTAAAAAAAGAATCAAAATTAAAATTAAAAAAAATCAATAAAAATCGAAAAAAACAAAGCCGAAAATAAAACAATCAACAAAAAATAAACAAACAAAAATTAAAGGGAAATCGAATTAAGCCAAGTGTCGCAGAGCTCTTGTAGCGCATTATTAAATAGAAAAAGCAGCAGAGCAAAAGTTGTGGTGCCACTGTGCGACCGAGAACCGAGTCATGGGCAGCAAGCAGTAATAGAATCAACGCCACTGGAATACTAAACGCCAAGGCATAAAATAATATGAGGAGCAACACAAACAACTACAAAACAGTAACAAAATGTTTGCATAAAAGTAGAAATCTCGCAGTGCAACAACGAAGAGCGCCACTTCCATAGGCAGCCATAGTTGGCCAGCAAGTAACTGCAAGCGAATGCTACACCACAACTGGCACAGTGGCTCTCTCTCTCTCTATCTGAGTGTTTTATTGAAAGTAACTGCGGCTTTTGACAGGAGTAGGAGCGTGAGCGAGTAGGTTGTGTTACTTTCTGGTTCATGAGGCCGCAAACGCCAGCGACCACTTGTTTAATATTCGTTTTTATTATGGCTTATGCCTTATGGCCCAGTCATATGGTTTCACTGCAGCCAGTAGCTTGTAGATTTGCTGTTGTTTTTGGCCTGTCATTGTGACTTTTTTACTGCTACGTTATGATTTTACCGTTTACTGCAGTGTTGAATGATAATATCTCTCATTCGACCAGTTGGTACTAAGTAAAGTCAGCTGAGTGCAGGAAATAATTTATAGAAAGATATTCAGGTGGAATAGTTATGAATTTTAGAGAGAGTGGTAGAAGGAAGAAAAATTAGTAAGTACAGAGCTCGGGTCGATACTCAGAGAAGCACGTGATTAGCAAGATTTAAAGCAAATCGCAAAAAAAGTCTGTGTCTGAAGATTTTCGTATGGATTAATTTTATTTTAGAAATTATAATTTTCGTAGATGCTGGCACCTGTTCCGACTTCGCATTAATCACAATTTTTCTTTTAACGAACCAAGCTAAGAATGATGGACCTTAGCATTGGCCAAGTGAGGCCTTAATATAGTAAAAATTTATCGATTGATCCACTTCCTCGACTTACTAAACTTCAAAAATTATACGTTTTTCATAAACATTTCGATTTTGCCTCGCGGCGATGCTATCTTCCCTGTAAATGTATCGCCACACCGCAAAAAAATTATTAAAAATATTGGGCTAGAGAAAAGTTTGGATAGAATGAATGAGTCTGCAAAAAAATTATTTGATCTCGGTTTCCATGGGACATGAAACTTTTAAGCTGAAGAAAATGCCGATGGCAGTTAAAAGATCTAACTCCAGAGTTGCATTCTTTATTCCAACAATGTACGTATGTATAAGTGTACCTAAAAACTTTTATACTCATATTTTATGTAAATCATTAGAGAAATAACTGTTATACATTTCTTACATCATCAATTCTCATCTCATCAAATAATAAAAACAACTTTACGCTTAATATTATCATCAAACTAACGTTTACAATGTGTCCATAACGTGATGAGATAAATGATTTGTAGGTAAACAACAACAGCAGTAAACAAAGAAGGCATAAAATGAAAGGAAATCGAGAAAAGAAAAAGATTAACGGCAAATGCTAAAATGAGGCAAAGAGTAAAGATTAACATAGAAAATACAAAAAAAAGTCATACATACATACATACACGTATACATATGTACATGCATACGAAGAAACTTCGACAATTTACTGGACCAAATTTGTATGTACAAGTGTATTTACATACCTACAAACAAATCTACGTCGTTAAATTCATAATAGATGTAAAAGTCGCAAAAGATTCGAGAGAAAAGGGCAGACAGATAATGACAGCGGACCTGACAGTTGACACTTGCTGGCCGACAATAGTGTGAACTGAAGACATACAAATCTAAGAAGAAATGTCCGAGCGTTAATAATGGAGTTTTCTAAGAAAAGTGTTTTTTGTGTGAATGAAGATGGAAAGAGAATAGAAGACAGTGTGCGATACGAAGCTGGAGCTTTATCAGAGCTGGGGAGGTGGAGAAGCAGAGATATTGAACTGTTATTTAATTAAAACAGGGACCTACTCGAACACTATACCGCACTCATGACATCAAGGGGCTTTTTGGCATATAAGAAATCAAACAATACAATTGGCTACGCCGTCAAGTCCATATTTGAAGTAAAAATTTCTTAACCCATCCGGGTTTAGCAGAATACTGTGTCCCCAGAAATCGACTAAAAAAGAATCAAAATTTCTAAAATCTTATGACCATTTTTCTGAAACGTAACGTACTGGGTGATACAAGTTTGAAATGCGGTTTGGAACGTGATAGGAGATTTTCGTCTCATTTTCGTCGCTTTTGCTGAACTCTGCAGCTTAACACCAAAAGAGAACAATGCAGAAAGCTGAAAAGGGAAAATAATAAACGAAACTAACTATAAAAGTTGAATTGTTTAGGGAGCTTAGCCCATTGCATCTGATCGCAATACACCCGAAGAGAACCCCCGACCATGCCATAATATACATAGTGTATGTATGTGTGTATGTACTCGTATAATATTTAGGCACGACTTCTCAAACTAGCGCACGCTCATTTTCTATTGTTTTATCATTGCGGTGGTTATTGTTGTAATATTAATATTTTTTTTTATTATTATTAATACCACTATTGTTGTTGTTGTTGTTGTTGTTGTCGTTTTTGCTATTACAGATTTAATGATGTCAATGTGTGTCATTGTGGAACTGCAGCAGCAGCAGTAGCAGCAGCAGCAGCACGACATACTTACATACCACTATACATACTACAACGGGTACAACAACAGGAACAGGAAAAACAAACACATTTTCTTTCACCTTAATTTTATTTAATGGAGTATATAATATAGACAATAACAAAAACAAAATCCGCATGAAGCAATAATAAAAGTATTATATACATATGTAAACTAGCGGTTAATTCCAGTGTTACGAGCAAGTTGAGGGCGGACAATGGCCAGCACTGAAAATCACTAAAATAAAAATAAAAATAAGAAAAAGCAAAAGGTGACTAAGAGTTAAATGCAGATGAAATATTTTTGCATTCAATATTTACATATGCATTATTTTATTATCATTGACTTTTTTTGTTATTGCACTTTTTCAATTTTTATTAACTTTATTTTTACTTTTTTTATATATGTATCTACATATGTATTTTTATATACGAGAACTTTTCTATATTTATATTTATTTGAATTTTTTTTTTTTTTTATTTCTTTATTTTTATTTTTTTATTTTTATTATTTTTTAAAAATTAATGCTTTTTTAACTTCTTTATTTTAATTCTATTTTTTTATTTTAATTTTTTTTATTATTTGTTTTTGGTGTTTTTTATATATTATTTATAACTTAAGTTAATTTCTTAGCTTTAATGTTATTTATTAATTTTTTCAACTTTATTGTTATATAAATATTTTTTAATTTTATTGCAATTTGTTTATTTGCTCTTTTTTAATTTTTTTTTTATATTATGAATTTTTCTGAAATTTTTTTTTGTAATTTTTTATTGTAATATTTTTTTTATTATTCTTTTGTAATGTTTTCTGTACAGTATTTTAATTTCTTGTACCATAATTAGATTTTTCCGACTTTTGACAAATTTACACGTGACAAAGAAGGAGCCTAAGCATAAACAATTAACAACAGCAACACGATTTCGCAGTAGAAACGCATGTTTTCAACTCGACAAAGCCAAAAAGTGCCAAAAATAGTTTCAAATGTGCACATTTACAAGAGCATTAATAGCCAGGGTAACAAACATCATCCATTACACACTTACGCACACACATACAAGCTGTAGTTGCAAGCAAATGTGAAAAGCCACAGCGGGAGTTGCAACATCAGCATTGAAATTTGGGTCCCCAAACAGCTGTTTTCATTAATTGCTGTCGACTCTGTGTCTCTGTTCACCTTCCACTCGCACTCTCTTCCACAAGCAACCATTTCACTCGCTCATCTGCAGGCGCAACTGCTTCACTGATTCATGTCGTTCGGACTTCCTTTGCTTTCATTTGGCCGCAGTCACATGACCCTGTTCTCCCTTTTATCGAGCCAGCGGCACTGCAGCGTAACCTTTAACCCGTTTTCCTCATCCTCATTCAACATATTCAACATTTTTTACTGCATTTTGCTTTCAATGCATTTTCCTCTTAACACCTTTCTGTGTGACCAAGCAGCGAGGAGTTGGGGTGAGGAAACGAAATCTGGAATAATCATCAAACAGAATGCCATGGGCATTTTACACGATGGGCATTCGCTTTTTATTCTATCCGACCAGCGAGGCTAATTGTGCAATGCCACAACAACAAACAATTTGTTTTAAAAATTTCAGCTGGAAAATTTCCACTTTTTGTTGCAACGATTGACCGAACGAAAGAATGAATGAAACTGAATGTGGATTTGAAACTGTTATTTATATATTGTTTTTGTTTTCGTTTTTGAAATCATTACCAGGGGCTAGTTAGTTCCTTAGTTAAGTGCATCTCACCTCTGTCCATCACATATTTTGCTGCTACCACCTTTTGCATTCTGCTGATTTCCGTACATAATAAGAAAAAATGTGATGCATTTAATGAAAAAATTTCTGTCGTTCCTAGGAAATTGTAGTTTTTGTAGCTGCTGTTGTAGCATGTGGCAGCATTCGATCAATAAATAGGAAGTTCCGCTATTGGACTGCACAGAATAACAGTGGAGCTACTTGGGAACTAAATTACTGCACCTCACATAAATCATATATTAGTGAATTGTACACCATAACTCTTGAGAATAATGGATTCAATGGTCATTGGCTCGAAGCCTGGCCAGATTAAAATCCAAAATTATAGAAGCTTACATGAAAAAAGAAAACCAAATGGAATATCAACCCCTCCGAGTACATTTTTGACACAGAAAAGCTTTACACAAAAGCGTATCGCTTCAGCGCTTACAAAGCGCTAATTATATATTATATATTTATATATGTATATAATAGTTCTCTCTCATTTTTATAGTTTTTTCTTTCTTTCTGATTTAAATTTTTAATTTTTTATATTTTTTACTTTTATTTTTAATGTGCTCTTTTTTGGTTTGTTTCATATTTATTTGAAATTCTATTTTTCTGTTGTTCATTTTTAGTTATTTAATATTTCTTTCTTTTTTTTAAATCTTTATTTACATATTTTTTTAGTTTTTTATTTTTGTTTAAATTTTATTAACTCTTTCCTTTTATATATTTTTTTATTTGATTTTAGTTATTTTAATATTGCATAATTTTTATATTATTGGTACTTTTTTCTTAAAACTACATTGTTTTTTTCTCTTTTAATATATTTTTAATTTTTTTTTCAAATTTTTTTTTTTATTTTGAAACTGTATGTTAGATATATATTTTTGTTTAAAATTGAATTTTTATATAATTTTTACTTAATTTTTTGCTGCTTTTCTTTGAGAATTATTTTTGTTGCAATATTTTTAGCTGAAGTTTATTTTTATACACCTTTCCAGTTTGCAATTAGAACTAACGGTATAAGAATTATCCCATCATATGCCACAGTGCACCCCTCTCTATATTTGTATCCAAAATTGCTTTCAATTCCATGGCAGTACATGCGAACCTGCATAAATATATTAACTTACATACATACATACATACATACATGAACCGGTATAAGTGCTTATCTGTGCATGTATGTATGAATGTATTTTATGTTATTACTGCATGCCACATGTAACTGCAATAATCAAACAGAATTTTCCAACATTGCACCGAATATTCACAGGCCGATTGCGGAATAGCGGAGGTGCTACCTCAGAGAAGTGCATGTAATTTACATATATACATATTGTACATTTGTACACATTTACGTATGCATGTTCTACACCTCAACTGATTGTATGTATGTATGTTTGTATGTATCAAATAGGATGTAAAAAAGAACAAATTGAGGTAAACACATTCATATGTATATATATGTATGTATGTATATGTAACTGTGCTCTTGCTCATATTTAAATACGCATGTTTGTATGTATGTATGTACCGATGGCAGGTTACTGTTGAAAAAAAACTCAATGAATGAATGTCAACTTTATAGGTGAGCAAATGGATTTATAGGCACATACCAACATACATACTTACATATGTACATACATATGCAGCTACGTGCAACTTCATTAGAACACAACAGCAACAGCAACAGACGGAAAAGAATAAACGACAGTCAAAGAGAAAAGCAAAATAAAAACAATAACAGAATTATTAACTTTATCAACTCAATAAACAACAACGATAAACACACACATATATGTATGTACGTACGTAAGTGGCAATAAAAATTATGGCAACAAAAGAAAAACAATCAGCGTGCTGTTGTTGTTTGTATTGTATTTCATATTTTTTCCGGCACTTTTAATAAATATTCTATGCGATTTTTTTTTAGCTAAAAACATACATATTTATATATGTACATGCATACATGCATACGTATGTGAGTAGATTTTTATATATTGAAGGCCTCGCGTTAGTTGGTCACACCACCGACGAGGGCAATGGAGTCTCTGATTGCTGTTGTGATTCTGTTGTTTTTTGTTTTATTTTTCGATTGCTGTTGTTATTGTTTCTGTTGCTGCTGTAAATGTAATTTATTGCTACCTCAGTTTGCAATATAACAACGACGCAAAACAACATGGCACACTAGAGCAAATGTAACGCAATTCACACCGCAGAATATCTATGTACGTGTATGTACATATGTGTGTATGTATGTGAATGAATAGGAGAATGCCTTGTAGGAATTTCGGGAGCTTACGGTGGAGTTTCGGAGACGTGCCGAAAGCCTTCTAAAAGCTTAATGGCTTTCATTCAATTTTAACCACCAGATGACGCAAGAATCGAGTTGTTCGGAAAATCTGTATTCTTTGCATGGTTTTGAATTATGAAATTAAAAACGTTTAGCTACTCTTTATGACATAATTTTTGTTATTGTACTTATATTGAGAATAAGATGGAAAAGCTTAAAAAGAAAAATAAAAAAAAGAAAGCTCCAGCTCCAGTTTTTCCAATTTCGTTTGAGGCTTTATCATTCATGGTGAACTGAATTCATGTGGAAATTGAAATAAATTAGACTTGCTGGCCTTCCTCGCCCGAAATAGTTAAATCCTTAGCAGTGGTCGCTACCATGGGAAAGTCCGAGGTTCGAGCCCTCGCCATAACAACATTGAAATTTATTGTATTTCTATACTTTTGACATGAAATAAAAAGCTTTGCATAATAATCCATTAGCCATTCGAAGGCGGCTCAGAATTAACTAAAGCTTGCACCATTTTTTGGAGAAATTCAGACGTACAACCCAACTTGGACGGCTAACTCGGCCAAAAATCGCGTTGTACTTACGGTATATATACACGTATATATATTTCATAACGGTCAAAAAGAGAAGGTGCTCATACAAACTGCGGATTCTCTTTGATGTCTACCTGAATATATGATATAGGAATATGGTCTCAAGAATCATGTGGCGTACACCTGATGTTTAGGTCTTTCCACTTGAGGCGCCATTAGATCGCGAGCCGATGTCTAAAAGCTCTGGGGTTGGTGTTTCAACTATCATTTATGGTAGCAGAAAACTAATTTCAACATGTAGCATATATTGGATGAGTGCATAAGTTCGTCCCCGATTTCCAGTGCAAACTAAAATTGAAATTTTTTGAAGAAAGCGCTTTTATTAATCAATTATGTATTCGCCATCATGTTCGGCAATCCACTCCCAACGTTCAACCAATTTACGGATGCCTGATTCATAGAAATCGCGCGGTTTCTCGTTGAAAAAGGTGTCAAGGTGGTTTTTGACGTCTTCCACATTTTTAAATTTTTTTCCATTCAAATTGTTCTGCAGCGATCGAAACAAATGATAATCAGAAGGTGCAATGTCGGGTGAATATGGGGGATGCGGCATGATTTCCCAATTCATCTCCTTCAGTTTGGCCAGGGTCG